GGGTTCATATGTAAGTGTAGTTAAGTCGTTTTGTCAGCCGTGCGACGGCTCGCCAATTTTTTCCAGAGACGAGGAACCCTCCATCAGTATCTTGGCAATAGTGGTTGAAGTTTTTACCTCCGGGACTTCAACATTCAACTGCTGACTGCTGACTTACCTACAAGGGGGATGTTTAGTAACGTGTTGGGCATTTCTTTTGGCAAACATACCGAAGTTTGGTAAACTTGCTCGGCTCATTAAGTCACCCAAAGCCCATCATCCATCCAGTAGGTGAGATGACTGTTGCTCCCGCACAATTGTCCATAAGGAATTGTTAAATCCCCTAAAATAGAAGTTTCTACCTGTTGCCAAGAGGTCAGTGGAGAGGCTCTCTTGCCTCTGATTTGTCCTTTTCCCGGAACATACCAGTTAAATAATACTCGGCTCTCTAACTATCTAGAGTCTCAAGTGGGTTGCATTTAGTTAATCCATGATTTCCTTACTCTATTGCAACCACCGGCTTTCACCAAAAAGGTCGCCCAGCGGGCTGATTATTGAAATTGATGGACAAAGCAATAGACAAAGAAGACAAAAAGGATATGGAGGGATCCTTTTGGTGGAAGCGGCTGGTTACAATGGACAAAGGACGTAGTTAATAGACTACATAACGGCAACCCACGAGGGACCATCATTTTCTCCCTTGGTCTGAAGGAACCACCCATTTCAACCAATGGGATCGCTACATACTTCCTATGTCTTCTTCGTCTATCACTTTGTCTATCAATTTCAACAGTCGGCCCGCAGTTTCCTCTTAGTTTGTCTTCTTTGTCTATCGCTTCGTCTATGAATTTCAATAATCAGCCCGCAGACCGGTGACGTCACGGGCTAGGCACGGTGGAATGCGCGTGTGAGAGTTGCCTCGGAGCCGCGCGCGGCGAGTGCGAGCCATTCGTGCGTCTGTTTCGCGCTCTCGCGCCGGCCGCGATGAAGCCTCGGTTCCACAGGCAGAGCGCGACGCGAAGTCAGTCGCGCGGCTCAGAGATTTTAAAGCACACGAGAAAGATTTCAAATCTGCTCTTTGCTGAGGCTATTCGCGCTACTAACGTTTGCAGTACCTACATGGACAGAGTACAGACATGCCGAAATATGGAGCTCTTAGAGCCCAAAAAGGCAGCCAACATCTAATACGAAAAATGCCGCTGCCAGTATTTAGATTTTAATACAGAACGAAGATGGCAAGGATATACACAAATGAGCGCCTCTCCGCAAAACTGAGCTTTGTGCATAAACTGCTAAGTCAAATATACGTATTTTACACATGACGTGTCGTAACGATGGAGAATTTGCATGCAAATATTTTATTGCTTCATCTGAAAGTGCTTAAAGAGCTGATATCACAATATTTTTCATATTTTTTTTCTAATATGGGAAATAGTATTAAAATAGATTCAAAAGTGAGAAAATACCCCGCCTGGTGACGTCATCTGGTGGCATTTCCCATTTAAACACATGTATTTTAGCAGATCAGATCATTTTGTCATATATTCTCCAATAACTTTTAAATTTATGAACCAAAAGTATCCTCATGTTCAGTTCACGTAGTAGTTTCCACTTAAACACGAAATTCATCACATTTCAGACACCCGCAAATTCTCTCATTCTGGATAATTTGAGTTTTTAAGTCGGATGCCCTTTTGGGCCGTAAAAGCTCCATGACCCAACCTCCAAAATTACCGATATGTCCGTACTCTTCCCACCAGTGGCGTGGCTTGATTTGCGATTTATCGATTGATTTGCCATTTAAACCTATGGAGAAGGATCGATTAACAGGGTGTTCGCAGCGAACTCCGAAATAATCGATTCTATACCGTAGGTTTAAATGGCATGACAATCGACGCATCGCAATTCACGCCACGCACTGCTTTCGACATTGGAACTTACAATTAGCTATCGTCTGTGGCAACGGACGTTGGTTTTGCGCGGGCTCCTCGGAGTCGCGCGCTGTCTGTGGAAGCGCGGCCTTCGAGACGGTCCCGGTCGGTGGCCCGGAGAGTACCGCCGTGCCAAGAAAGAATGCCGTATCAACATTCCAGTGTTGTCAAATCTCCTCCCGTAAAAATTCATTCTTCTAACAAATTTATTAGTATTTTCTTTCTGGATTTTCAGATACTTTAAAATAAACTGCAAACAAAACTCCCTCAACAATCAGAAAAAAATCATTGACAGGCTTCGATAAAAAATCGTGTTTTTTCGCAGGGTGCTGGCAACGGCTGGAAGCCCATACGGCGTTATTCCTTAGGACGTGAGGATAATAAACGAGCATTTCATTGGGTCCAAAAAACGGACGGCCCTGCGTCAGGTGAAAGAGCAGGTGAGCTGCAGTGGCGTGGCGTGCTTTGCGATTTATCGATTGTTATGCCATTTAAACCTGTGGAAAAGGATCGATAAACAGGGTGTTCGCAGCGAACACCTTAGTAATCGATTCTTTACCATATGTTTAAATGGCATAACAATCGATACATCGCAATTCACGCCACGCCACTGGTGAGCTGGACTCGGAAGCGCCTCGTCGACGAAGAAAGTGCTAATTTGCCCGGCGCTGCTGAGGGCCCGGTTGTCGCCTCCGTCCGAAATCCGACGGAATTCCAACGGGCGCCCTGCGCATTCCGCCGGGTTTCGGTTCCATCTGGTGGGTGTGATCCGTGGCCGCGCACGACCTTCGCCACCCGCAGCCTCCGTTTTTCGAAAGAATAATTTACTCCTGTCTTCATTCACATCCCGAGTTTCCTCCCCGTCTCTCGATTTTTATCGTCTTCTCTCGCGGTCATGCGGTCACTCCAAAAGCAGAGTGTCTACAAGTCCGGAATTTCCGGAAAGTTCGGAAATAGTACTACTTTTTAAAGGGCGGTCCGGAAGTACTGAAAAAGTGTGGGAATTCCGTTAGGAGGTCCGGAATTTTTCATTTTTGTCGCAATTTTAGAGAAAAATTCAAATTTTTGAAATTTTTCGAATTTCATCAAATGGAGGTACTGAAAAAGTACTGCATTTTTCCGTTGAGGAGGTACTGAATTTCTCGGGAATGTACTGAAAAAGTGCTGTAAAAGTACCGATTTTTGGCCAGCCTGTTTTAGTAGACACCCTGAGAAACGAATTTTATTTATCTCCACTGAAAAAAAAGTTATGGACTATATAGACATCTAGTCCATTCCGGGCTCAGAGTCCGAAAGTTCCGGGTGCTGGAGCCATAGCTTTGATTGCTCCGGGTGTAGAATATTCGGTAACTTACACAGGAGATTCGACAAAAAATAAAATGCAAAAATAGCGCATTGAATGCAAAAGCAGTGTCCAATAGATACATGAAATTCGCTTGAAGAGTATCATTTTCTTTTTATGTATCGCGGATTTTTCAGTCATTCGGTTCTTGATTCAGTCCTCACTTCTTCTGCTTCCAATAATAGGATCAATCCAGTTTCCCGTTCTTTTTTTTTTCTCTATCGCTTTGTCTATCAGTTTCAATTATCAGCCCGCATCAGAGGCACACGCACTCCCTTGCGTGACGGCAATAATTTCACCAAACCCAGTGTTTCTCTTCTAAGCTCATTATCAGTCAATAAAATTTTATTTTCGTTTTCACTGGCGCACGATGCCGGTGCAACACGGACCTCGCATCCGTTCTCTACTCTCACGTAATTCCACTCTTGCAGTCGTGTCCAAGTATCTTTATTGTTGATCTGAGAACCAAAAATAGGAACTTTTTTGGTCAGTAAACTTTTATCGTCCCTCGGATCGGATGCGTAAAAATTGCCGCGGTGAAAGACGCAAATGTGCACATTAACTTTGTACACGTAGCGGCGCACAGTGGATCGGGTCAATTAGAGAGGTCGGCCATGACATTTTTTCCTTCGACTGCAAGGTTTGGTGGTTATATTGTCATATTTCAAATTTTAAGGGGTGCTTTTGGAAGAAAATTTCACGAGGAAACCAATGGAACGATTTTTAGAACCTCAAAGTTTCATATGAACGGAGTTATAAGCGTTTAAAGTTTCCATATTTTGTCCGACCTCTCATATTGACTCGATCCACTGTGTGGCGTGGGCCCCTGTCTTCATTTGCAGCCGCCCGCAGCTCGTTAGAACATAACCTTAAAATCAGCGGCAACAGCCAATTGGAGAGCTTACGTGCAGCTTTACAAACTTTTGGAGCTATCCACAAGCTACTCGAACCGCAGAAAGATAGATAATTTGTCGCTCCTCCAGCATAAGGGCGTATCTCGATTGCCACTTGAGCCCCAGAAACAATGGATTTATATGAAAAACAGGGCTCACTGAGAGAACGCCCTCACGTCAGAGAAGCGACGAATTTGAGGCCCCCTATGCAAGATGTTTATCTCGGTCGTGTTATGGTATCCGCCCGTTGTTTTCGATTCAGTTTCGACGCCTACCGACCCACAGTTACCAGATTTCTTTGTGCAACAACACGAATTTCAGAGGATTCCTTCGTGCTTTGGAAATATTTTTAAGCGTTCGGCAAGTGCAATGGACTTTAATGTGAGGGCTTTTTACCTTGCACGATCATGGCACGGACTCTGCTCTGCGTTTAAAGTACAAGTTATTGTTTTCGTCTGAGTGTGAAACGAATTACTGCATCATTATCTTACTTCATCATTCCGCTCCAATCAATTCCCCTACATTATTCTTTTTTGCTGTTTTCTTTTTATTTTTATTGTTATGTTCCGTCATGCAGGCGAAGAAACGCTGCGTTGGTGAAACAGTCACACCGAATGCTTAATCCGTAGAAAAGTAGTCCGCCTGCAGTAAGTGGGAGAATTTTTGATCAAACTTACTCGAAAAAAAGTTTTTTCTTTATTTTTTTCTCTTCGTCGTCGACACAAATCTTTCGTTTCGTATTTTCATCAAGTTAAAAAAGTAAGTTCTTATTCAAATCCTGAATTCCAAGTTTACACCTTCTAAATGATTGCGAATACTTGACATTTGATTTTCATTTTTTTTTGTTTGTTGCAGATTTTGATGCTGTGAGTGACTGATATCGTCCCAATCTGAAGGTATATTTTAATTTCCCTTTTTCCTATGTGTAGTAATTTTCATGGATTTTCAACCTCTCTTTTTTTCGTGCTCTATTTTTAATGTATTTTCGGTTGAGTCGTCTTTTTAAAATCTGGCGAAAGTAAACCTTCTTTTTTCCACCCAAAATTCTGGAACTGAATTAAGAGGAATGTTTCAGATTTTTATGCTCACTTCGGCAAAGTCGAGCTTTCGAATGAATATTTCAGCGCTCGATTTTGCAATTTTGGAACTCTGCTGTTTTAAAAAATACGAGTAATTATTTCGGTCGATCAAGAAGCCGAAGGCTGAGGAAAGGTTAAATAACCTCACCCAATTTTATTAAGTTCGTTTTACCCACAATTTTATCGAAAATTGTGATCAAGATCAAAAAATCGCTTCGGGTTTTTCAAAAATTGTCAAACCACTCCTATCTATTCTTTCTCGTAAGAAAAGCCCCAACATGGTTCCTAATGTGTCTTCCTCTAGAGTATGCTGAGATTCCAACGCTTTAAATCAATCGCAGCCTAGATACAATTTAAACACCTTTGAAAAGCACTAGACTAGTCAAAGACTAAAATATAAAATTTAAAATTCACTGGTCTGAGGGTTTGTTAATCGGGCGCGTTTCGACAATTCCAGTCATCTTCAGGGACGCGACTCACGCTTTTCACGGAGTCGCATCTCTGAAGATGACTGAAGTTGTCGAAACGCGTCCGATTAACAAACCCTCGGACTGGTGAGTTTTAAATTTTATATATTTTATCAGCCTAGAATTGAAGAAGCGTATCGGAAAATACTACAAAAAAATCCACAACCCCTCTGAAAATAAAACTATTTTGGGAAGGAATCTGGCAAGATGGTAATGATCATACGGCGTTGTTCCAGCGGCGTGGCGTGCTTTGCGATATATCGATTGTTATGCCATTTAAACCCATGGAAAAGGATCGATAAACAGGGTGTTCGCAGCGAACACCTTAATAATCGATTCTTTATCATAGGTTTAAATGGCAAAACGATCGATACATCGCATTTCACGCCACGCCACTGGGTTGTTCCTTGGCACGGCCGCGGCAGATCTACCTACTCTGCGCATCATCGTTGCCTCCAGCGATGTCGACTCTGTCGAGCGAATGGAAATGTGTTTGCGCAACGCTCGCTCGTAAAAAGCCCTCACCTCGGTGCTTGGCGCGAAGAAAACATCTTGCACATTCCTCGCTGCGTAAATTTTCCGCGGAAAATACTTCTCGGAATCGAAGTTCATTCAGCGCTTGGATTTACGAGGCGCTGCGCTGTGTTCACGGGAGGACGAGCGCGCGCGCGAGCGCAAATGTCATGCGATTCTCACCCGATTCGAATGCGTCATCCGAATAGGTCACCCGTGTCGCGCATTCTTTGCAACCATCGTCAGTCTCTTAAGGATGGCTAAATCTTGAAAAGTCAATCGAAAATGTGGGTGAATCGCAGGGCATTTCGCCAATAAGGATCCTTGAAGTGGTAATAGGACAAAATGTCCAATGTCAAACAAATTCTATATCTGAAACAAGTCCAAATGTCTAGAGTGTCCAAAGGCGGGCCAAAAACAAAAGTGTCCAATTATGAAATAATTTGACTAAGTGGCAATATAAGGAGCCTGGAAGCTTTCTATGACAATATCCATTGGGATAATGAAGAAGCAGTGATTTAGAGTTTTTCTAACCTGTGACTGGACTTGAGTCATACACGCACTAAGCAACAAATTTCAAAGAAGTCAAGAACAAATTAAAATATAATCAAATCAGGACAGAATCCTCAAGCGCGTCCAAAGCTATCAAGAATATAAAGATGAAGACGATATTCCACGATATCTCAGGGGAATAGTCTTTTATTATCGAGTTAGCAACGAGCCGCAAGACGAAAGTGATCAGAAAGTATGGAGAATTTCTGCTAACAGGTAAATGGTAAGATTAATTATGACTCACAGCAACCGGACATTTGGGCATTTTTAATTTTGGCGATGGTACCGCTACTGGACATTCCAGGTACTTGGACATTTTTTACTCATGGACTTTTCTTATATTGGACATTTTTTTACTCTGGACATTTGTTTTTGGACATTTTGACCAATCACCCTTGAAATTATTTCCTGCGGCCGAAAAATAGTCAGTTCTGTGCAGCGCTTCGGCATGTCAACTGTGGTTGTGAGATACATTTCTGCTGCACTAAGGAATAACGCTCTATTGACCCTCGAATTCTGCCATACTTCCCTCCGATAAAGTATCCTTCTTTTAGGAAATTTGTGAGTGTTTTTCTTTGAAAGTTTTCGATTCTAAAGATGTACTTGCCCATAAAAATTGGAAAGAATCTATTAGGGAACGTCGGCAAAGTCAGAAGGCGTACACGGCGTTCTTCTCCACGGTGTTGAATGCCGTTTGCTCCAGCATGGTATGATTCTCGCTCACAACTAACTTTTCTACACTTGCGTTGAAGTCCCCGTAGAATGAACGGAAGATCGGTTGCAGTAATAGTGTTTTGTTGGCTGAATCCTGTGGATCAGTGAAGTTAAGTTTAGCTCACACGCGTTGTGAATTACCGCCGTATTATTGCAACTGCGTGTAGGAAAAATGCCGTATGGACATATTCGAATGTTGCCAAACTTCACTTATAAATCTCCATTAATGAGGATTGTCAGGATTTTTCTTCTTGGAAATTTTCAGATACTTTAGATCTTTCGAATAAAATTCTGTAAAAATTTGGGAGAAAAATTCTCCCGATTTCTCCTCAAAAATTCAACAATAAATGTTTTACCCAAATAAAGGCAACGACCCAAGGGTTTACTCGACGTTTAACCTCAGCAGCTATGGCACGCCAGATTGAAAGGGAAACAACCAGAGAGCAGGATCGATCCCGATTCAAATAACACCGCTCCGACTCAAATCAAACTGAATCCGTCGATTGTAATAATCATTAAACGTACGCGCTTTCATAATTAATTAAGCTCTTTCTACCTCCGAGTCCAAGAAATCGGCAATGTGCTGTTTTATTGCCACCTGTTCGCTCCGGCAAAGTATATGATTCTCGCTCAACTCTATTTTTTCTACACTTGCGTCGAAGTCTCCCGAGATTGGACGAAAGATCGGTTGCGCTGGGCACAGAACCGTGTTTGAATGCTTGATTCTTGTAGATCGGGTAAAAAAGTATAAGATCCAACGAAACGACAACTTTCTACGTTCAGTATTCACCGAGATATCGCGCTTTGAAAAAATCGATTCATGACGTCATCCACCGCGGTAGTGACACCCTTGGTTTCTGCCACCTTGCTCTCATTCGAGTTTCATGTCCAGTGACCAGTGTAAATGTGTCTCTCCTTGAAAATGAAAACAAGAGGGAAGAAACCAAGGGTGTCACTACCGCGGTGGATGACGTCATTAAATGGATCTTTAAAATCGCAATTTCTCGCTTAATGTTGAAACTCAAGAGGTCAGCTAATCCACAAAACACAATTCTTTAATCAGCGCAACTGACCCATCGTATACATTCACGGAAAAATGCATAAAACTGGAAGGAGGAAATTATATTGTATATCATTAATGCATTTCGTGTTCTTCAGGCATTTGTGCTGCCGTGCTGAGGAAGAACACCGTATGAACATTCGAGAGTTGCCGAATGTTTATTTTCGAGTAAAATTGTCGAGATTCTCTCTTGAAATTTTCAGACTTCTTGAATAAAATTACAAGCATAATTACCTGAGAAATTGGTTGAATAAATATTCACAAATTTTCTTGAAAATGAGTGATTTGTTAAAGGAAATTTGGCAACGCCTGAAGGCTGATACGGCGTTTTTCCTTAGCACGGCAGTATGTTTCTTTTTTATTCGGACAATGAGTTTCAAATTTGATCATTGTACAAATGGGGTGTGAGATTCCTCCATGGTCCTGGGTATGTAAAGTGACTTGAACATTCTCTTGACATGAACATTATGACCAACACGTCTTGGCATCTTCTCCTGAATTCCAAAGCTGATAAGTATTCAGAGCCCCTCTTCGCCGCCGTATGTTATTTTTCTCCTTTCGTGTTCATTGCCAAATTGGTGTGTTATATTACTCGAATTGGCAGAGTTACTACAATTTCTCCCAGTATTTATCGGCTCTGCCTAATAACAGTAAAAGCTCCACGACGAAAGTAACCTCAATCCGTCGTTTTCCAGACCAAGGAACCTTACTTTTTCCGAGGTTACAAAATGTACTCGAAATGTATTGTTTTACATGAATACGACTGTGAAATTTCTGGACGAAATTTTCCTGGGGTTGCGTGTAATCAGAAGAAAAATTCGACTTTTTCAGTCAGAAATGCCGCACAGTGAATCGAGTCAATCAGAGAAGTCGGACATGAAATGTTTGACAAAAACAGCAAATTTTCATCATTATTTTGTCAAATTTTAAATTTTGAGGAGAGATTCTTAAGATAATTTTACGAGAAAACCAATGGAAATGGAACCATTTGTAAGACCTCAACATTTTGTAAAAACGGAGTTATGAGCTTTTAAAGTTTCCAAATTTTGTCCGATCTCTTTCATTGACTCGATCCATTGTGTGCCGTATAGTTTCCTCGAATAATAAATAGTTTGCAAGTAGAAAGTTAGCAATTTTGAAATGAATCAGTTCCGTTCTTTCATCTCGGAAATGATTATTTTTTTATTTTTTTGGAATGGACCACTAGACAAGGTACAAAGTTAAGCATTCTGACACATATTTCTTGACCAAAATTTCACGTAGAATTCGACTTCAGCAATGAAAATTACTGAAATTAACTCGTTACCAAGACATTTAATGTTTCTTTCGTGAATTTAAACCTCTCATAAAATCTCAATGGTCTATGTGAGTCAAAGCGCACACTACACGTTATCGTGTTGCAGTCTTTGCGACACGAAAATATGACAACCTCAATCTTGAGGCTTTAGCTCAGCTACAGCAAATTATTTACACTTTGAACGCTAAAGGGTGGGAAAGGAACAATGCTTAGT